TGAACAGAGTGACACAAAAACCTAACTGACAGACGTGATTCGTGACACCCATGTCCAGCAATCACTGTGCGAGGGGCGGGGATGTTTAAAAATATGGTTAAGTTAAAATTGTTGGGAAGGTATGGTGCCAAGTGAAGGATATCTAATATATTTTTGTTTTCACTTTGGAGATTGTCTAAGCCTAAATTGTTTGATTGCAGTTATTGTATTTTTTTTAATAAACGGACCACCCTAATGAGGAATCTGAGGAAACTATGCTTTCTATGTTTATTTTTTTAATGCTTTAAACATATCCATCCATCCATCCATTATCTTTACCCGCTTATTCCATTTTGGGTCACGGGGGTCGCTGGTGCCCATGTCCAGTAATCACTGTGCAAGGGGCGAGGTACACCCTGGGTCGCAAGTCCATCACAGGGCCACATAGAGACAAACGACACAAACAACCATTCACTCTCTCACTCACACCTAGGGGCAATTTAGAGTTACCAATCAGCCTAACATGCATGTTTTTGGTCTGTGGGAGGAAACCGGAGTACCCGGAGAAAACTCACGCATGCACCGAGAGAACATACAAACTCCACCCAGAAAGGCCCCTGGACCGGGGTTTGAACCAAGGACCTTCTCAGTGAGAAGCAGCAGCTCTACCAGTTGTGCCACCGTGCTGCCCGCTTTAAAAATATAGTTTTCTCAAATGATCAAGGTGACCTTCGGGGTTGGCGAAGATTATATGGTGATGGAAGATGGGGTGGCCAATGGGGGTGACCAAGGTCATCATTGGCCATCCCATATGACTCTGCCATTGCATCTGTTTGCACATAAAATTCTTAAAAAAAAAAAAGAAAACCTATCCCTCTTTTTCTCCACAGTGTAACTCCTCCCCACTTGAACACCGTTCACCAAAAACATTAAGTTCTTTTTCATATAGGCTTTGCCCTTTAAGGCTGTCGCTGATGGGTTTTATCCCGATATGCAAAGCATTGCACTGAAAAATTTAGTCCATGCCCACCTGCTGTGTGGGCCCCACCCGGTCCGTATAAATTACGTTAAGAGCAGGTAATCGGCTCCCATTTTTCTTCAGCAAGCTAATAGCACTGTCAGAAGAACGAAGAAGGAAAGTTGTGTAGATGACCAACCTTTGTTAAGAATGCTTGGCCCGTCACGTCGACCTCCGGTCGTTCTGGTGAGACCTCCCCAAGGAGAAACTGACGAGCAGTCTTGTTTCAAGGTAAGTGCCGAGGAGTATTTCTCAGTGACAGATCGCTACACGCTGGACAACGCCATCTTGTAATTTTCCTTTCCAGGCTGCGTTCAGCTGCAGCCCCCGCTGCTCATTCCCTCCTGGAGAGCGTAGTGTCGGTGGAGGGGGGCTGAGCGAATGCTCACCTCATCCCACCTCATTTCGCATCAGCGATCACACCGCTCCCGGCTGACGGCGCCCTCTGTGGTTGCCCGGCGTAACCCAGGAGGCTGCTGACATTAAGGGACCCTTTTTACGTCCTGCGCCTTTCCCGCCAGTTCGGATGATCTGGCGGGAAGGTTTTTTCTAGGCTCCATTCCGGCTCGCCGTCCTGATCCCATCTGACCTCGGTTTCCCAACAGGACATCCTATGGGGACGAGGCCACATCCGGCTTTCCTGGTAGATTGGGGGGCCGGTCTCCACAGTCTGCGCCCATCACCAGATCAGGGGTTCACCAAGCGGAAATTCCCTCAGTACCTCCTGGAGCCAAGCCTGATGGAGGCTTTCTCGGAGCAAGATGTCCAGGTGGACCAGCGTCCCGTGCCTCCGGTTAGCGTAACCCAGACGGTAACTCCGCTCTCCAACTGAGCTCACCAGCATGCGTTCCAGACGGCCACAGCGAACAACACGTTACGCTGTTGGCGTACACGTTCAGAGGTGGGAAGAGACGTACGCTCCGTCTACAGGGCAGATGATGTCATCCCCAACCGGTGCACCTCTTTGCTGTCTGCCGGCCCGCATCGCAGCCGGAGGACGGAGTTTTTCAGCGTTTCCCTAAGACCGCCAACAGATGGCGCAGCAAATGACGGTTTTGTCGGAGGATGTGTTTGAAGGTGACACGAGCTTGGAGTAAAACATCATTTAATGATGAAAGTGTCTATTTTTAGCCAGTATGTCAGCTCGGATGACTTGACAGCGGCTCCCTCTCACATCCTCCACACAAAATGAGCTGGTGGCAAGACGTTCCACGGCCGTCTTGCTTAGCTTCACCGCAGCCCCGCCGTCAGAGACCGGCCCTTTTCATCCCGGCAACAGAGTGTCCAACGTTTTCCCAGAAATCCCCAGCAGACGCCCTGGCCTAACAAATCCCAGAGCTCATGGGGGAAAAGATTCAAAATGATGGTCTGAGGAGGGTGTGTGTAAAGATGACACAAATGTTGAATAAAACTTCATTCAATGATCAAGTGTCTGTGTTTAGCCAGTCTGTAAGCTTGTATGAACTCACAGCGGCTGCGCACACATCCTCCACAAAAACGAGCCGGTGTCCTTAAATAAAGGCTTTTCAAATTCACCGGTGCTCCAGACATGATGAGACGCTCACAGAAAACAACAGTGGTA